AAAAATGTGGGGAAAATATCAAACCTTATTAATACTGAAAGAAAGGGGTCACCAAGAGAAGAGCTATATGTCTGCTGTCCCATCTAAATAAAATCTTTGTGACTCATTTTTAAACAAATCGAGACATTTTAATGTGAGTGTTAGTATAGAAAACAGGTTGGCATTTGAAAGTGGTATTAAACATTAAAATGCATCTTCGCCATTTAACAATTAATTGAAAAAATGTATAGAATGTGAGATCCCATTGTGTGTATTGCTAATTACAAAAAAGAAAAAGCATTTGATTTTCTAGGAAAAAGCTCAACTATGCAGGTTCTTTTGTAACAGGCTGTCTCCTATATCCAAAGCACTCAAAAATTCTTGAGACGTATAGCAACAGAAATAACCCTGTTCAAACATCAGGTGAGCTTTAAACTCTGTGCTAATTAAAGGTGTTTGTCACCTCGGTGAAAGAGATCCAGTACAGTGTCCAAGTTAAACAGGGAAACCTTGTGGGTGGGACAGCATGCTGATTACACCAAACCCTAGGACATTGGAAAGCCTCCTGGAAGATCTCTAATCTTTCTGAGGAGATTGGTCTTTGCCCCTCCACTTTGGAAAGACTAAGAGTTGAATAAGAAGTTCTGTTGTCCAGATTACAACATACATTTGAATAGACACCCTGAGGAACTCTTTCATTAATATGTGTATTTAGGACAAACAGTACCTTTGACCATGAATTAGCCCCCAGAGATGAACATAAGAAGAGTGGACTTGTTTACTTTGGGAAAATTGTGAAACTCCTTTTAAAGACCCCCAAATTTCTCAGGAAAATAGACACCTATCATTTTAACACCAGCGTTCTACTGTTTTGGCTTTACACCAATAAAACATGTAATACATCAATCTTTAAAGTTAATATCACACAGGATGGTGGACACACTCAAGAAGGGTGTGGGCAGGCTGCCACATATGGTCAGCAAAGAGCTTTGAAAAAGAATGGGACTAAAAGATCAAGGAGTTGTTTGATAGGAAGAGAAGATGGGCTAGTTGGTCACACGATAAGGGTGAGAGAAGATGGATGGATGGATGGATGGATGGATAGTAAGGGCCCTTACCACAGAGGCTCTGGTAAATTTATGGGAGAACCTGGACAAGAGCCACAAGAATGCACATACAGAATGGGTTGTAATTGTAGAGTTTAAAAAGGTTCAAGAGACATAATTTTTGGGTGATTTAATCATTTTATTAATAATGCCAGCATTTTAATAAAGGGATTGGTCATTTGGCCATCTCTCTCTTAGACAAAAGAAAATCATGGTGGAAGACTTTTAGTTTTGATGCCCTTTTGGAAGAGGAGTTTTCAAAAGGGTGGCAATTCACTGACTCTGATTCATTAACAATTAATGAGTGGTGGACTTTACACAGAAATGGACTTATTCCCAGGGACTGAGAGTGACATCATGTCACCCAAGAGACTATCTCTATACCTCCAGCCTTGGGCAGTTTAGACCAAAGGGTCTGTCTCCACCCAAGCTTGATTAAATGGAATTCACCTCAGACTAGAGATTCCTTATAAGATTGGGTGGGGTTGGATAGAGAAGAAAGTTAGCTCAAACTTCTGAGACTGAGGTCCTGAGTATAGAGAAAAGGAGGAACTCTGAATCTCCTACATTATTAGTTATTAAATATAATCATTTCTCTCATAATCTGCGTCGTTGCAGGGAACTTGGAAATCAATGAAATCATGAATCTGTTTGACTTTGTATTATAAACATTCCCGTGGATATTCATTTTAAGGGAGAACGGTTTATATTAGGCAAGTAGGAAAAGAATACTAATTTGATATTTTCCTATGTATTCCGCTCTTGGAGTAGGTGGAATAGCTAAAACTATTTTTCCAAAAATTATTTATATTCAACTTTTAAAAATACTTTTGTGTGTATTTGAATATTGGTGTTTTAGAATTCCCAAGATAGCAAGTCAAACTGGAAAAGTTACTCAGCTTTCTCATTCTTTCCTTTTATGTAGTTCTTCCTTTATTCATGTGTTGCCTGGATGATTGGAGCAGATAGACTGCTAAAGCTGCTTCTAAATGTAGAACCCTGTAATAAATACTGTGTTATTTGGGAACAGCAGCCTGAATTTTAGCTGCTGTTGCCTAAGTGCCTGTGTGTGTGTTTGCACACACATTTCTTCTCTTCTACTCTTATCTTCCATTCCTTTCTCCTCCTTTTTTCCTTCTTTCCCGACCCTGACCCTTCAGCCAATAAAAGTAAAATCAATTAGTAGGTTGGTTTGTTTTTAAAATCCTTACCTGATATAGAAAGGCTGAGGCTTGTATTTTAGGAAAGATTTTAAAAGTTTTCAAGGGCTTCTTATATAGAATGTATTATAGAAAATTCATCGGTAGAAGATACATATTTCTCTTGGATTTTGAGGGAAAACACACTTCTCATTCCCCAGATCATTTCTCTCTTGATCCATTGTTTTAAGTAATCTGTACTCTTTCCTTGACTTGTTCTCTCTTTTGACGGACCCTGTCTCCTCTCTGCCTTTGCACTGGCTCTTTTCTGTGTCTTTGAGACACAGATAATAATAGACACAGAAAGCAATACCTCCTCCAGAAGGCCTTTTCTCTACTACTAATACTACCCCTCCCCTTCCAATGTTAACTTCTATCTACTGAGTATTTATCTTTCAATTACAATGTAAGCCCTTTGAAGGCAAATACTGTTTTTACTTTGTGTCACCAGTGCTTAGAACAATGCCTAGCACGTAGTAAGGACTTGATAAATATCTATATTCTGTCAAGTTCTAATCTGTTTTCTTTTTTTATTTTCTTTGTAATACAAGCCTCAACTAGTGAACTATACAACCTCCAGGTAATGTGAATATTTAAGGGAAATAGTATCGCAAATCCAAAAATAATTTTATTTATAAATGGACACAAGTATTTTATTTTCTATTTATATCTTAGAAAAGACTAAAGTCTTCTTCCAGCTCTTCATTGTGTTATATAGGTTACTTTGAGTTCCCAAAGACTATGTAGGTAGAATATAAACTCTGGCAAGGTTTTAATTTTGACTGCCTTTTGTATATCTGTCATCCAGGAGTCAGCCTCTCTAATCTTGAAGAAGTTCATCACCACAGTTGACCTCTAGATGATGAATTTTTTTCTAGCTGGTATACAAAGGCCAGGAGTTTTGATATGCATTATTAGAGAGGAATATCTATACCTAATAAAACCATAAATCCGTTAAGTGCTGAGTCTCAGGTTGAAAAAACTTATTTTCATTTTCTAGATTCATATAACTTTGGCCTTGAGGAACATCATAAAAGTTTGTCAGAGAGCAGAAGAAATCCATTTTGCAATTTAAAATTTGCCACAGATAGTCCTCTTAAATTGGGAGTTGACAGTGGAAAATTTGGGGAGTAATTGTAAAACTGGACCTTTTTTCCTTCTTAACCCTTTTAATCTATGAGAATATACCTTGTTCCTGTTCTTTCTCAAAATATTTCTACTTTCATTTTGTGTTCTTTTTGTCCTCTGTACTAGCCCATCTCTCTCTAAACCCCTTACCCTCTCTAGCTATATTTCTTGTTGTGACTGTAATCACATTCAATTTGCACAAATTGAATCTGCCCATAGGATTAATGACAGAGACCCCAGCTATTTTCCTTGCACATGGAGTTTTACTTTACATTAGCCTACTATGTGACTGAGGAAATACAAGTTATAGAGTTGATAGCATTTATAAAGAGCTCTGATATAGAGGACTGTATACTGAATAATTACATTTGTATTTTAATGTGCATAAGTGGCAAAGACACCCCAAAGAGTCAGAATGGGTACAGTGCATATAGGATCTCACAAAGTGTGTAAGAATGGCTAATGATGGTAGTCTGATGCCATCCCTATTATTTTTATTTAAATGTGTCAAGGCTACCTAATGATGTCTTAACAAAACTATATTTCTGTAATATCTTTGTCTACATTTGCCTGGAGTTACGTTGTCATCATTGTTGATTTCTACTTGTCACTCCTTTCTATACTTGTAGATTAAAAAAAAAAGTTCCATTCTTGCATGGCATCCTTCTTTTTCATCACAAGAGAATGGAGTTTAATCCTCCTTAAATTAATAGATGTATTGAGAATGTTGGTATAGTTGAATATTTTTTAGCTCTGTACTTGATCTCAGAAAGTGGAAGTTTTTAAGTAATTCACTTAATGTTGCTCATGTTTAATAAGAATTTATGTTTATATCAAACATTTAAAATATGTAATCATTCCACTTTATACATCCTTTACTTTCTGAGGTCATATGATCCATGTGTTGTTTTCTTTTCCTTGATGATTCCTGGAAATATGAGTCTGTTATCTTTTGTTGAACAGAAGGAGGTTTCCATGACCATAGAATATTCCTTTTCTGAGCATTTGCCCACTGAATAAAGAAATATTGCTTCTACTGAATTTGCTGCAAAAAAAGCAAATCTCATTTTAAAATTTCCTTAAAATTAATGTGATTCCATTAGTTATCTAATGATCTTAAATTTTCTGTAGTAAAACAAATTAAATCCTGGTTCATTTAGGTTCTTAATGGTTTTCATGTACATAAAAATAGTTTTCTTCTTCTGAGACATAACTAATACAGTTTTCTTTAAGGATATTTGAGTCTAGCATTATATCCATCTATATAACCTTTAAGATTTCAGAATTAGTACTTTTAAGAAAAAAAATACTACTGTGAGGAAAGAACAGTGAACACGTATAAATGTAGCAATACCGTTGTGGGTTTTTTCAAGCTCGAATTTTCAAAAGAGATAGCACTGATCAGAGTTTTTTGTTTTTGCCACCCTCGTTTGTTTTATGTAGTGTTTTAAAATGATTGTTGATTTTCTTCCCGTCTCTTTAGACTCTTCAAATACTTGAAATATCCAGACTATCCCTCATGGGGTTGATTCTCCATATTGGTGCAGTTAGCCATGAACTATCCTTTTCTTCTCCCTCTTTTTCCCAGATCTCTCCCGGGTCCAATTCAGCACCTCTACCTGGCCATCCTAACAAGGTGATTTGTGAAAGGGTGAGACTTCAGAGCCTGTTCCCTCTCATCCCAAGTGATCAGGATACTACAGTTCAAGAGGATGCCCACTTCAAAGCTTTCTTCCAGGTTCTTATATATGTTTACCCTTCCCCTACTATAGGGTATTAGTCAGATGAATTCTAGTTTATTTCCAGGAAGGCTTGACATGAAGATGGAAATCATTAGGTCATTGTAGGTTACCATCTGACTACTTAATTTCTGATGTGTGTGTAAGTATGGATCTTCTTTCCACAAACTATTTCTCTAATATTTCTGTTTCAGCTAGTTGTTCTGAAGAATGATTATCTTCTCTTGAACTGCTTTTATTTGTTCCCCTAATACTCTTGACCTATTTTCTGACTTTTTTACCTCGTATCACTTACCTTATAGGCATAATTAGCCTGTAAAAAGGTACAGAGTGACCCACAGGAAGTGTAGTGATTCTTAGCCAAGGTAAATGAAAATATGTAGGGGGTAGGACAATTCCAAGACTGAATGTTTTTGTTTCTGTTTGTTTTTAATCCTCATAGCTGCTTACTAAGTACCCACAGTTCATTAAATGATGCACATTCTGGAAAAGAAAAAATCATTTCTGCCTTGGAGCTTACATGCTTATGAAAACTTCATGAAATTAGAATTTTGAGGTTGATGTTATGTTAGAAATCAAAAAACAATTCTTAAGAATTATAGATATACATTAAACACATATTTAATTGAATCTTGGCTAGACTTAAATTCTAAGTGATTGCCTTTGTATAATGTGGTTTTCTTGGAAGCCATATTCCTTACGTGACACTTTCTTGACATCTTTAAGAGTTTTTTCAAACACAATGCTTATTTGAAGGATATATATCTGTAGTAGAATATGCCCTTTAAAAACCTGCAGTTGATTATAATTTTGCCATGGCACAGGAATGACTCTGTTTTTTATAATGAATAATGGATGCATTAAGTATAGGAATAAGTTCCAGGAGATAGAGGAGATTGGCTTACAATGCCATCAACAAGCAACTTTTTGAAACTCTAGCTCTTCCTCACGATGATGGATTTGGAGCTGGAAGGGACTTTAGGAATAATCTAGTTCAGATCACTTTACAGATGAGGAAACTGAGACCTAGAGAATTCTAACGCAAAGCTAAGATTTTAGCCTTGGTCCTCTGGCTCCAAATTCAGCACTCTTAGAATGTTCATATTTCAGTCTTTCCTAGTGGTCATCACCTCTTGTGTGAAGGATAGTGATCTAAAATTTTGTGTTGTATTTTCTAGGTTAAAAAGCTAGGTGAGAACTACTAACAGAAAGGTCTGTTATCAGAACTTTATGCTGAACAATTCATTGTAGTTATAGGTGTCTGCTCTTCTGGGAGATCAAATCTGTATTACTAGAGGAAACTTTTGGGGTTATTTAAATGTTCATTGTGGCTATTGCTTTATGTTAAACTTGTCTGAGAAATGGTGACTAAGTTGAATAGATTAGATTGCAGCTATGGTACTTCTACACAGTATCTTTTCTTTATCCTTTTTTAAATTTGGCATTGAATTTGGCCTTTCCCCTAACTAGTTAGTAATATGACTACTCAGGACCAGTCGCTTTTAATGACACCCCAGTAGCCAGTATTTATTCTGTCTATTAACAGACATTTTTATTTCTTGTGATACGCAGAAAGGCAACGGTGGCTTTAGAGTGCATACTTGATAAACGTCATAGGGGAGAACGTCAGAAGATTGAGCAGTGAAAAGGTATTGAGGAAAAGGAACGTATAAAAAACTCAGCTAAGCCAGTCATTCTGAGAACATTAGGGTACAACCATAATAACAATAAATGGGAATGAAATTATACAGTTCTGCCAGCTTTTTTTTTCTTTTTTTAAGAGGAAAATCTTTTTTATCCTAAATTTAACAAACACTAACAGTTTCTTATACAAACGGAAAAATAGTATGGCACATTACACCAAGAATTTCAAGTTGTTGTTTAATATGTACTAAATTTGATAGCTATAACAACACTTCCCTGCTTCCATGGATTTCCTTCTAAACTCTTTTCTATGTGTTTTTTAAAATGTTCCATTGGTTCTTTTTTCCTTCCCCCACAAAAAAATAAGGACAAAAACAAAAACCCTCTCATAAAAAATTAGTCAAGTAAAACAAATGCACACATTGGTCTTATCCAGAAATGTATTCTTCATTCTGTATCATCAGCTCTCTGCCAAGAAGTAGTGAGAATGATTCATTATCAGTCTTTTGGGGTCATGATTTATCGTTTTGTTGATCATGGTTCTTAGGTTTTTCATTGTCATTTTCCTTTGGAGTGTTGTAATTTTATACCTTTTTCTCTTAGGTTTGCTCATTTCACACTGCCTCAGTGCAATAATATATCATTACATTCATATGACATAATTTGTTCAGTCATTCTCAGTTGGACTTTGTTTCCAGTTCTTTGCTTTAACAAAAAGTGCTGCTGCAGGTATTTTTCTGAATGAGGCTTTTCTCTCTTTATTTCATCTGTTTGAGATAAATTCCTTGTAGTAGTATCACTAGGCCAACAGCAGTGATGTGATTAGCGTTCAGGGGAGGTGTAGTTCCAAGATGTTTTACAGAATGTTTGGATCAATTTATAACCCTACCAACAGTGTGTTAGTATTTCTGTCTTTCCGTTGCCCTTCTAACAATCATCATTTTTCTTTTTTGTCATCTTTGCCCAATAGATGGGTATGAAGTAGAACTTCAAAGTTGTTTGAATTTGCATTTTTATTATTAGTAGTGTAGAACTTTTTTAAAAAAAATATGGTTGTTGATAGCTTGTCTTTCTTATTTTGAGAACTGCTCTTTCATTTCTTTGACCATTTTTCATTTCTTTGATAACTCTTTGGGGAATGTCTCTTGTAATCTGAATTGTCCATTTACCCTCCTATGCTCTTTTCTTTCCCTTGTTTGGTCAGGAATTCTTCCAAAATTGTAAGAGGTGCTTTCTTACCTTTTCACCCTTATTTGTTTGGGACATTACCCTTTATATGTAGCTCATGTATCCATTTGGAGATTATGGCATATTGTCTGAGATGTTTTGGGCAATGACAGTTATAGAGTACCCACAGTAATAAGCTCATAGATGCATTGAAGCAGTAAATAAATCCACTTTGGCATCCTGAGCATCTATTTTGAAAATGGAGTTACCCAGGTTCAGCATTCTCTTTTGTAAATGAAATTCCTTAAAATAAATGCATATTCTAGTTTTTCAGATGGTAGGGGATACGTACTATTTTCGAACACTGGTGAAGCACTGATTACTTATTTACGGTCTAGTTTTAATGTAAATTCCCTTTTCCTTGATAATTGTGTACTAATCAGAGATTTTAAAGAAATGAGCCTTTGACCTAAGCTCTGTATTCTGCAGAAAATATTTAGAAAAATATTTATAGAGATGAAAAATGGTAGTTAACAAGATGATAAACAGGTGAATATCTCTTTGAGTTTATCATAACCTGTAATTACCAATACCTTCATCTTGGAAAAGCAATACAAATGGTTTAGAAGTTAATAAAAAGAAGAGAATAGGCATGATTGCATTTGGAAAGTTCAGAAGCTTTCAGTGATCACAAGTGGTTCCCTAAAACAAAAATCGATCTTTTTAGTATTAATATTCTTCTACAATCAGAGAATACCACTGTCGGTAGAATTAGAATTGTAGGCAATAGAGACATATTTGGTGGAGTAAAATGATGCATATTACCAATGGTAACTTGTCTGTAAGAAGTACCATAAAAGATATCCAAGAAATATATGATCAGAAAAGGAAGGGGACTAGTCACACATATATTGAAAGCAAGGCATTATATGATGGATAGCCTGAGCATTATATTGTTACTCCAGGAATATTGACCTAGAGGAACACTTAACCATATGCTGAGTGGTTTCTTTATGTAGGATATCTAGAAGAATACAAGCAAGCAGCGCTCAGGATTATAGGGTATGAGTAATTTGTGATCTGTAATGTTGGAGGTAGTGCTTACACCAGTGGTGTAGGCTTACTTACTTCAAAAGTATGGTTCTAGGGGTACCCAAGATTCTTTCTAGGAGGTTTACACTGTCAAAACTATTTCATGATAATAGTAAAATATTTTAATCTTTAATACTGTATAAATATTAAAATCTCCTATGAACAAAACCAAAGTTCTTTGAGAAGTCCTCAGTTTTTAAAAATGTAAAGAGGCCTTGAGATCAAAAAGTTTGAGAATCATTGGTCTGCATTAATAAGATCAAAGATTTATTAAGTATAAATTTGTAGTCCATTTGTTTTAATCAGCCAAAATCTACGTTCTTACCTTCCTACCCCAGTTGAGAACACAAAAGCAAAACCTATTACATACATGCCTAGTCAATCAAAAACACATTTCTACGTTGGCTATATCCAGAAAAACTATTCTTATTCTGCATTCGGAGTCCTTTACCTCTGTCGTGAAGTGGATAGCATGTTTCATCCTGGGTTTGTGTTTGGTCATTACACTGATAAGAGATTAGCAGTAGTATTCCTTCATACTTATATACTATAACTTAACTCATCCAGTGCACAATTTATGGGTACCCTTTCAGATTCCTGTTCTTTGCTGCCTCAAAGAGCTATAAATATTTCTGTGCATCATTGGAGTTTGTTTTGCTAAGACTAATACCTTTCTTGATCTACTGTCCCTGAAATTCCTCCTCCTCCTCCTTCATCCCCTTTCCTTCCTATTTCCTCATTGAGTAAAATGTAGCATTTAAGTATTAAGTATTCTGAAGAGGATGTTGGAACTACTAAAAGATTGGGAATCTGTAAATTTTGTGGTGGTGTTGTTTCCCATTGCCAAAAGTAATTGAGAATTGATTGCATCTATTTTTAACTAATGTGATTTTGAACGTTATCTGTAGAAGAAATCTTTACAATATAGCAATTTGAAATTAATGGAATGGTACAGTTTCTTCAACTATAAAATGGATATAATAATAGCACCTACCTCCCAAAATTGTTGAGTGGATCAAGTAGGGTAATATTTGTAAAGCACTTTTCACAGTGCCTCCCACATTGTAGGCACTATAAAAAGGCTAGCTATTTGGTA